GGATAATGTTAAATTTGTGTATGGTTCTAAGGATATGTGATATAATTTGATACAAATTGTATAGAGAAATAGAAATACGTGTATTCCTGACTATGGGAATGAGAATAATGAGCAAAAAGAACGAATAAGATAAAGTGAAATAAACATAAGGGGGTAAGAAATCTTTTGTTACAATGTGTCCCTCTGCTCACAATCCATTCCATCCTTATAGTAGATGGATCATACTTTATATACAATAAAAATACATAGTGGAGAGCCCATGATGTATTATCTTTTCCCTAATTCCCACCAGGATTCTCTCCCTTAGTGCGGCTGTAACGGCCTTGTCTGTGAGTTTCGATACTGACTCGAACTAGATATCGGGTCGAGCCATCGGCCTTGACTCGAGCTCGATCCTGACTCGGAGTCTTGATATTCGGGGTGGGTGTTGGTCGGTCTGTACATCTTCGACAACCTTTTGCCTCGTGGTTCGATTTGGTCATGGGCCCGATAATGATACCGAACTGATCCTTGATCGGACTTGGAGCTCGAATCCCGAAGCCTTTTCTTCGGACCTCGACCTGACCTTACGTAGATACCTTTCGATCAAAGTATTATTATCTCGACCAGTCCGTACGATTGACTTAATAGGTTTCGACCGCATACACTATTTTCTGTCATATCACAAATCTTAGTTTGCTAGTTTATTAGTTTTACAATCAAAGGGTAAAATCCTAAAAGGAATTAGACGAAGATGATTAGCCTATTGGATTTTTTTAGTTAAATTTGAAAAAAGAAAATGAAATGGAAGGACCATTAGAGCAAAATATTCATTAGTATAGGGACTAATATTGAAGTTAGAAATACTTTAGGGATAAAACTAATATTTTCATAAAACCGAACAAGTCTAAAGCCGAGGGACATATTAAACAAACAATTGCAGTCCTATGTTTTAACGAAGGTTCTGTTTTCTTCTGTTTGGTTTTAACAATGGCAAAACTATTTCATATTTCAACTTGTGCTCTTTTAATTCTCTATGTCAAAGTTTCACTGAGAACTCATAGAGCTAGCTACAATGGCTTCCTTATCAACTATTCCAAAACCAATATCCGACGCCTCTTTTTTATTACCAAAATTAAGGGATTCCGTTATTTTTCTGAAGAACATCTCAATTTCAAGACCAAAGATCAGACCTTTGACCCGATCAAATATTATCAAGAATTCAAATCAAACCCAGTTTTCATCTGGTCAATTTGAAATATTTTTTGCTTAATTCTTTTATTTTGGTGGGGCAGGATATTTGTCAAAGAATATTTTCTAGACATTAGCACTTTGATTGTAGGTCCTATGCTTTTTAAGAATGGTTTAGCTGGAGATTTGTACATTTAGAAAATATACAGAACTAATTGTATTTATATTATATTGGCATGAAATGAGTTTAAATGGATTAACATATTCATATAGCCGAACTTTACTTGTATTTATTGCACCCAATGGTGTGGCCTGGTGCGTAATGAAGTGAGTGAGAAACATGAGGTCTTATGTTCAAATCTAACAGGTGATTTTTTCTCATCTATCAAGTCTTGGTGGATAGAGTTACCTAATAGTTGTTGCTGGTGTAAGGTAGCACGTATACCGTGAAATTAGTCGAGGTGCACGCAAGCTGGCCCGGATACTAATGTTATAAATAAATAAATAAATAAAAATTATATAGCCGAACTTGTTTTGACTGAGGTGTAGTAGTTGATGTTGTTATGTTATTTTGGTAATTGGGGTTATATATGTTCCAATTATTTCTCAAAGTTGTTCAATAATTTAGCTTAAGCAACTCTTGTTAGTGTTCCGAGTTTTTGGTTTATTGATGGTTAGCTGTTATTAGAAGTTTAATTTGAGCTAATACTAACATGGCTGTTTGGTGTTGCAGAAGGACAATGTAGTCCGATGTTTGAGGTCCCAGTTCTTTCTTCCTCAGAGGTCTGTCTTCTTTTTATGTTCTTAGGGCTCGTTTGGTACGAGGGATAATGGATAATGGATAATTAATTCCGTGATTAAATTTGAGATGAGTTTATTTATCCCACGTTTGGTTGGGATAAAATCACGGTATAACTAATCCCGGGATTATAGTGTTATTTTTATCCCTATGAGAGGGTGGGATAACAGTCTCGGCATAACTAATCCCGGCAGGGGCGGCCCGACGAATCTCGTGGCCTAAAGCCAAACTTCATGAGGGGCCTAAACTTTTTGATTAAAAAAATTATATCTATTTGAAGTATATTTTTCTAGCTTTTTTTAGAAGCAAAGTTATTAATAATTTTTTATAATCATTTTTCTCCTAATAAGTGACGAGATGCGAAGCGGAGTTAACGCGAGGTTGGAGGTTTGGAGACAGAGTCTAAAGGTTTCAAACTGAGTAGAACCAAGACAGAATGCTTGGAGTGCAAATTCAGTGATGGGACCCATGAAGCAGACGTAGAGGTAAAGCTTGATGCTCAAGTTATCCCCAAGAGAGCGAGTTTTAAGTATCTCGGGCCTATTATCCAAGGTAACGGGGAGATTGACGAAGATGTCGCACATCGCATCAGAGCGGGATGGATGAAGTGGAGGCTCGCTTCCGGTGTTTTATGTGATAAGAATGTGCCGCCAAAACTTAAGGGTAAGAGAGCGAGTTTTAAGTATCTCGGGTCTATTATCCAAGGTAACGGAGAGATTGACGAAGATGTCGCACATCGCATCAGAGCGGGATGGATGAAGTGGAGGCTCGCTTCCGGTGTTTTATGTGATAAGAATGTGCCGCCAAGACTTAAGGGTAAGTCTTATAGAGTGGTGGTTCGACCGGCTATGCTGTATGGGGCTGAGTATTGGCCAGTCAAGAACTCCCACGTGCAGAATATGAAAGTAGCAGAGACGAGGATGTTGAGATGGATGTGTGGGTATACCAGGAGAGATAAGATTAAGAATGAAGCTAACCGGGACAGAGTGGGAGTAGCCTCCGTGGAGGAGAAGATGCGGGAGTTGAGGCTGAGATGGTTCGGACATGTTAAGAGAAGAAGTATTGATGCTCCTGTTAGGAGGTGTGAGAGGTTGGCCATGGAGAGTTTGAGGAGAGGTCGAGGTAGGCCTAAGAAGTACTGGGGAGAGGTGATTAGACAGGATATGGCGTTGCTTCAGCTCACTGAGGACATGACCCTTGATAGGAGTGTGTGGAGGTCGAGGATTAAGGTAGAAGGTTAGTAGGTAGTTTTTAGTTGTTCACCGATAGTCTTAGTAGGACGCATGTCCCTTCATATTCTTAGATTTTTATTACGTTATGTGGTTTTGTTCGCCTCAAGTATTGTATTCCTTGTTGCTATTATTTGGTACTACTTATCCTTTATCTCTCCCTTTTTCTTTTCTCTTCCTTCTTTCTTCCTTCCTTGCTTTCCTCTTCTTCTTGTTACCCTTCCTGAGACGAGGGTCTATTGGAAACAACCTCTCTACCTGCATTAGGTAGGGTTAAGGTCTGCGTACAGACTACCCTCCCTAGACCCCACCTGTTAGGAACATACTGGGTTTTGTTGTTGTTGTTGTTGTTGTTGTTATTTTTCTCCTAATAAGTCTTTCTCAATTGACAATATAGCTAATTCATTTAATCTCTCTTGAGACATTATGATCTTCGGTAAGGTTTTATCAATTTTAATTTTGAAACACTTCTCTCCGCTGAAGCAACGGTAATAGGAGCTATTAACATTATTCTATAAGTAATATAGGCATTTGAAAAAGATTCAAATCTTTTTATTTGATTGAGTATATCAATTAAACTTTTATTAATTGTACTATTTTCCTTAACACTTTTAATTCAAAAAATAAATCTAAACTATCAATATCAGGTTGATTATTATGTTTTATGGAACATTCAAGATCAAGCCAATATTTTTTCAAATTTCCATCATCTAGTGATCTCAATTTTTTTACCGCTAAATAGAAAATCAAAAATATTTTCATATGCTTCTAATTGTTCAAATGACAAGAGTGAGTTCCTCTAGTGGTGAACACCCTCCACTTCCAACCAAGAGGTTGTGAGTTCGAGTCACCCCAAGAGCAAGGTAGAGAGTTCTTGGAGGGAGGGAGCCGAGGGTCTATCGGAAACAGCCTCTCTATCCCAGGGTAGGGGTAAGGTCTGCGTACAAACTACTCTCCCCAAACCCCACTATTGAGATTATACTGGGTTGTTGTTGTTGTTGTTGTTGCTTCTAATTGTTCAAATCTATTTTGAAGTGAAAAAATAGCCTTGTCTACTACTCTCTTCGGTCCATAATAAGTGACTTATTTGGCCTTTTTTGGGTCCAAAATAAGTGTCCTTTTATATAATCGAGAAGGAATTAACTTTATTTTTTCAAAATTTGCCCTTATTTACGTACCTCAATTTGTCAAGTTAACAACATATAAATTTTAATTAAGGATAATTTAGTCAAAATACCTTTTTTCCTCTAGGAGTCGTATTTTTTAAGGGGTGTGCCAAAGGTCAAAAGGTCACTTATTATAGACTAGAGGGAGTATAGGACTCTTCGAGAGATTTGAGATTTCATTATCACATTCTCCTCAAATTGTTTCTTCCTATATATCGCACATTTCTTTCGAAATTAGGATTCAATATTCATTTTAAATGCAATTTTCTTACAGTTGCAAATCCTTATCTCTATATTTGTTAAAGAAAGAAATCAAATTTTTTCACTTCACAAAACTTTTTTTAACTTACATATAGCTTATTAGGTATAAAAAAAGATGGGGGGCCCACAAATGTGGGGCCTAAAGCAATTGCTTTACTTGCTTTATGGAAGGGCCGTCCCTGAATCCCAGGATAATTAATCCTGGGATGACTTGCTTCCAACCAAACAACCTCTTAATGTTTTAATTAAAGGCATAGTAATTGTTTTTAAAGCTGCAGAAATAGAACTTGAATACTACCTGCCTCCCGAATTTACTACTCCATCTGTTCCATTTCATTTGATTGTGTTTGTCTGTGCACGTAATTTAAGAAAGAAAAAAAAAACTTTTGACTTTTGTTTTCCCGGTAAAGGTTATTCAGAGAATGAGAACAAGTCGAGAAGGTCACGAAACCAAGCAGCTTTATTTGGCAATGTACTCTAGCGTTTTCGGTGGAATCACAACTGATACAGATGCCATGGTGATCCCCATGGATGATGACATGGTTCATAGAGGACATGGAGTTTTTGATACCGCTGCCATTATGGATGGGTTAGTATTTCTAACTCTATAGGTTAAGCCATTTAATTTTGGTTCTTCATCTTTCTTCCATCAAGGTTGATTTATGATGTAGATTTTCATTCCTTTATGTAACATAAATCAGTTCTTGGGAAGGCCTATAAGTATACCTAGAGATGTAGCAACACTTGTGTGTTGGCGTCGATGAAGGTTTAAAGTCTCTTTCCTTCAACAACGAAAAGCTAGTGGTTACAGTGTCGGAGCCAGAATTTTCACTAAGGTGGGTCAAAATATAAAGAAGTAAACTCACGAAGAAGCCAGGGAGAGTCAATATATGGAGTAGTATATATACTTAAAAAGAATTTTTTATCTGGCTAAATAGTATAATTTTCGGAAAATTAACACCCTTTGAATACATGTGGCTCTGCCGCTGCTTGGTTACTTTAAGCACATATCCAAGTGGTCATGCTCGTGCATCTGCTTGATGAAATTTGTTTAATACTGTCAATTTACTATCTTGTAGTTTTCCATAGAAATATTCTGTGTGGATCTGTCTAATTTGTCGATAGTAAATAGTTATTTTAAACCCTTTTATGTTGCGTGTGTTTTCTACTTATAAGTTGAGATAATATGGGGTCTGATTTTCTGGCAAATAGATCATAACTTGGTTGTATGCCTAACTTGCCTAATTTCTCGCCCTTTGCGCGCAATTACCTTTTCTAGTTCTATCTTAGGAAAATGTCTGTTTATAGGATTAGATTATGTGCACAACTCTGAAATGTGGAACTAATTGTACTCCTCTTACGTTCTATGTTCGACAAATGCCTAGTTATAGGAAAATTATGTGAGCAACTCTACAGTGTGGACTGGTAAATCTGTACGTCTTTAATTTCTTATTCTTGGTTGGGTAGTCAACAAGAATGAGAAGCTAAAATATAGTTGAGATTCTTGGGCTTGTTTTATTCTCCTTATTTTTTTATCTACCCTCAGATGCCTTTATGAGTTGGACGAACACCTCGATCGTTTCCTGAGATCTGCAACCATGGCCAAAATACAAATTCCTTTTGATAGGGAAATCATTAGAAGAATTCTCATTCGTACAGTAAGTGTTTCCAAGTGCAGAAAAGGTTCTCTAAGATACTGGCTTTCGGCAGGACCCGGTGATTTCCAACTATCTCCATCGGGCTGTCCTCGAGCAGCTCTTTACGCCATTGTAATACAAGATCAATCACCTCCCGATCACAGGGGAATCAGAGTTGTAACTTCATCCGTCCCAATAAAAACCCCACAGTTTGCCGTCATGAAAAGCGTAAATTATCTGCCGAATGCACTTTCCAAGATGGAAGCAGAAGAAAATGATGCGTATGCAGCAATTTGGTTGGATGGCGACGGGTTTGTCGCTGAAGGACCTAATATGAATGTGGCTTTTGTTACAAAGGAAAAGGAACTTCTGATGCCTAGTTTTGACAAAATTCTCAGTGGCTGTACGGCTAAAAGAGTTCTGGTTCTTGCAGCAAAGCTAGTAAAAGAAGGTAAACTTCGGGGCATTAGAGTAGATAACGTATCGGTAGAGGTTGGGAAAAGAGCAGAGGAGATGATGCTAATTGGCAGTGGAGTTCTTGTCCGCTCGGTGGTGCAGTGGGATGAAAAAATCATAGGTGATGGTAAGCCTTTCTATGCCGCCTTTCTCAGTTTCTTTGCTTCCATCGAAACAATGAGCTTTGCACTTTTACAATTGTCTTTCTATAGTCAGTAACTTAATTTTCTTATATCCTTATATCTGCTTAAAACTTTTTCATCCAAGCACATAGAAGCGTATTTCAACCGGTAATGAATAATGGATGCTCTCCTTGTCATGTTGGAAGCTCGAATGCTCAATTTTGAACTTGACTTCTAAATAATATTTGGACAACGATCACAAATGATGAGCATCACATACTATTCTCTTGTCTCTTTGTCACGTTGGTAGCTCGAAAACAGAATTTTGAACTTGACTTCTTAATAATATTTGGACAAAGATCACAAAGGACAAGCATCTCATACTAATCTTTCATGTTCATGCATATAAAGAGTAATCTCCTTGCTGTGTAGTGTGCCATTGTTATCCATAGTAACTGTTATGCCTAAGATGCATTTTAAGACCTGAAGTGTAAACTTAAGTCAATTTGCTATGGTTTCATATGCTGCTCCAAATATGATATTTCAAAATTCGAGCAGGAAGAAATGTTTCTTAATTTCGCGGTCCAAAGAAAGTAATGTTTGACAAACTGAGACTAGACAGATTAGATACCAATATATGTTCACTCATTGTCGCTCTTTCTAAACACTGGTCCCATCTAAATCTTGTTTCATAAGTATGCAAGAGCGACATATAAATTTACGATCATTGAAGTAGTTGATTGTATTCTCATTTACTTTCTGCTTCTTCCTCATTACTGTAGGTAGAGAAGGTCCTGTGACACAAGCTCTGCTAAATCTTCTTTTGGAGGATATGAAGTCAGGGCCTGCATCAGTGCGAGTTCGCGTTCCCTATTAAAATGGATAGCATATTTTCCCTTTCAATATGGTGGTTGGAAATTCAAGATTCAACAATCTCAACTCTTGATTAGGAATTACTGCTGCTGCTGCTGCTACAGAAATGTTTCTCAGATAAGCTTTGCTAAAATAAGCTTGCTTTCTTATTTTCTTCATAATAGTTGTACTATGGCCAAAGAATATTCAGCTTTAAGTTCTTTCCTCAACTGTATTTCTCACATTCCACCCTTGTCTATGCATTTATTGAATGAGATTTGCTTAAATGGAAAAGGCGATACGCCGCCGAATGTATATGGCCATGCACATGTCACAACTCAGAGTTTAATTTGGATCCTGCTATGAATCAAGCAGAGGGGGACCTACGTTGTGGGTTGAGGGATCACGGGACCCCGTTAGCCTCGGCAAAAATACTGTATATATGTGTTATATATATCTGTCCATATATATGGGACCCCTTAAATATTTAAGATGTGACCCAAACACAAAAAGGTGGATGGAGAAGTGGTTGAGTTGGGCATTTAAGTTCGCTTCTTGTCCAGATGGCGTGGGTTCAAAACCCCTTTTCTCCTTTTTGTTTTAGTTCTTGGAATACAACAGTTTTTAGACTTAATAGCAAATTGCTTTAATTTTAACTTTTATCTTCTTTTTGAATCCAACTATAGCTTAGTACTAATACATAATAGTCAACTTAATTAGTTTTGACAAGAGTAGGTTGCTCTAGTGTTAGGCACCCTCCACTTCCAACCAAGAGGTTGCGAGTTCGAGTCACCCAAGAGCAAGGTGGGGAGTTCTCTTGGACGGAGGGAGAGAGCAAGGTGGGTTGTTGTTGTCTCTTTCAAATCCCTGCCTTAAAATTAAAAGCCTCAAATTGTAACTTATCATTCCACAAATAGAAACATACAAATCCTTCAACAATCACTTTGACTCCGACGCGGCAATGGCAACTAAGAGTTTGAAACTCTTCTTCAGTTCTTTGGCTTTTAACATACCAATACTCTTGATTTCTTTAGTAAGTTTTGATAATTTAAACATACCCCTTTTTGTTAAAATACTAGAAATTTAAAGTGTTAAACATGCTTAATCAAACACCTTCCCTTTCCATAATATCAATTTTGTGAAGAAATCTCTCTCTATTCAGTGCTTTCTATTTTTTTTAGAACTTTTTATTATACTTGAACGATAAGTCATCATAATATTAAGTTTTCAAAGAATCGCACGCCGAATTTAATTTATCGCTAGTGATTAGCATACAGTGATGCCCCGTTATGCTCAAATTCTGGGTCCACATCTGAAATCAAGTCTGGTATTTAAATGGAGAAGAGTATAGGACATGTTCATTATCCATAGATTTTATGGTATTTAATGATGTTCGTTATTATTTCCGTTTGAAATGAGTTAAGTTCTTTCCAATTTTAAAAGATTGAAAAGTTCCATGCACTGATGAATAATTGAGAATTATCAAATATCATTTCCAGGCCATCAAGAGAAAAATAAGAATATGCAAGTTCAGAAGCCAACAAGAATAGAGACAAAGCCAAAGGGCAGCCGATGCATTAAGTTTTCATCGGAATCCGGAAAATGGTCGGACTACAAAGGTTTATTTTACGCAGCCATACCTTGTATTTCTGCAAGAGGCTGTTTCTACGGCTCGAATCTCATGACCTCCTAGTCACATGACAACAACTTTACCAGTTACAACCATACCCTACATTTCTGCAATAAATTATTTTCACAGTTCGATCCCTTGACCTCCTAGTTATACGACAACAACTTTATCTGTTACGCCAATACTCTCCTCCTATAGCCAAAGCCAATAAAAATAAATTTTCCACGGGGAGAACCAACAAAATCAAACAATTGAGAAAGGTTTACAAAATAGTACTATCTACTCAAGATGATCTAATTAATAAGTTAGGCTAATAAAAATTCACAATATGTACACCAATTCTTACAAAAAGTTCTAAGAATTAAAGGTAAGAAATTAATCTATCTTGAAGCTAAGCTCAATACGTTCTTTTGTAAAAATAACCTACCTTATAGATTAGACGAACATGCTTCTCGAACATAGTTATACGAAATTCTTCTCAACAATAAATTCATTTTATATCTTAGATAGAGCCTTTATATCTCATAGACCAAACTTCAAGAAAATATTTATATCATGTCTATTGAATGCTAGGATATGCTATAGATTATTAGATGATACTCCCTCAAATCCACTTTAATTGATTTTTTGACAGTTTTTGCACATATTAAGGAATGCACATTTTAGCATTAATTAACAATAAAATTGACTATATTAATCTTAATTTGTTCATAATATAACAAATACTTTAAAACTCTTTAGTCGAAGGGCAACTTTGAAAATAAGAAGTTAATTACTTTTTGGTATCTGAAAAAATCAAATATTATGGATCATAAAAAATTAAAAAATTAATTAAAGTAGACCGAAGAGAGTAATAAATAAGGAATCCAATTGGAAAAGTAAAAAGAAATCGATAATAGTAACTACTAACTACCTTACGAATTTCATTTAAAGTTTAAAAGGTCCAAATGTCAAATAACAAAATTACATGGTTTTTTATTTAACTTCTACAAACCTTAGGGGCTTAAGTTTACCAACTTGAAATCTTGACATAGTTAGACTTATACGTGTTCTCTTTTCATTGGCTACTTCCACTTTCTTTTTAATTCTCTTTTTCTTGACAGGAAAATAAACTAATCATCATAACAGAACACAAGAGAGAGAGAGAGAGAGAGAGAGAGAGAGAGAGAGCTCAGATGATTTGATTCGTTTTTGGAATATCGCCAGTGAATTATTTTAACGCCGGAGAATTCGCCGGCGGTCACATTTTTGTTTCAAGTGATCGGAGGCGAAAATTTTCTATTTTATTTTTTGGCGGTAAATAAAATAATTATAGGATGGTGAATTTTTTGGTGGAACGAGCGACGAGCGATATGCTTATTGGGCCTGATTGGGCCATGAATGTCGAGATCTGCGATATATGCAATCGCGATCCCGGGTATGTAAAATTTGGATTTTTTTCTTTTTCTTACATAAAATATGATTCGGCTTTCTGTTTTATTGAATGCTCCATTTGTTACTGAAATAGTTGTAATTTTCAGTAGTAGTAATAGTTTCTGGTTACTTGTATGTCAACCTTTTAGTTTTAAAAACTAGTACTAATTTATGTGATACATTTTCTTATTTTAGTCGGTTCCAAAAAATGATACATTTTTATAATTAGAAATAATTTTACTTTAAATTTCTCATTTTATCTCTAATGAAATAATTTTTAGCCGCACAAGTATTTATGACTTATTTTAGACCACAAGTTACATCGTCCAATCAAACAAAGTCACATTATTGGGACTGAGGGAGTAATTTGTTTCTCTGCTTTTGCATGTAAATATTTTTTCTTTTACCTGTTTTAAAAAAAAATGTATGAGTCAGTTTTCTGTTTTGCTGAATATATGTAAGGGAAAAAAGTTGTAAGTTTTCTATAGTAGTAATCTCTGGTTAGAGACTTCTATCTCAGCGTAGCTACAAGTGTGAGATTTAAAGAACTTGTAGTTTTAGGGAACCTTATTTTGTCATAAAAGACAAATTCTAACGCTTGATCTTAGACAAAAGGCCTAGAAAGAGTTTGGAAGCTCAAAACAAGAGATTTCTCTATTATGAAAAAAGGCTTAGTTAGATAAAAAAAGAAAGGCTTAGCCTAATGGTTGATGAAGTTGAAATGAAGACCATGGGAGACAAGGATTTGAATCCTAGTAGTGCTAGAAAGATTAGGTGATTTCTTCACATCTGTCTAAATCTTGGTGGACAGAGTTATTCGGTAACTATGGGAGGACGCAGGTTGGTGGATAATCGAGATACATGCAAATTGGTCTATACAACACCGTCATTTAAAAAGAGGCGATAAAGGCATGTCCAAGAAGACAAATTAGTTGCCAGTATTGAAGAAATGGTCTTGAATAGAGTGGAATGGACACAAAGGGTTCATATAGTCGATCCCGACTAGTTTGAATTGGGGGTGAAATATAAAAACTTAAGGTATTAGAGAATTATTTGCTAGTATTGGAATGAAGTGGCATCGAGTTAACCGGAATGGATATAGAGGATTGATATAGTTTTCCCGAAGGTAATACAGAGGAGATATAGTTGACCCAACTAGTTATGGATTGAGACATAGTTGATTGATTGATTTTAGTAGTATTTTTCTGTGATTATGGGACTGTGCTGGACGGTATAGAGTGAGTTCAAAAACTAGGTTTGCATCTTTATATGGTGCTACATCTGAGGGTCATTGTTTTGCCATGTGTTACTGTAACCTTTGTTTTTGTGGGAAGCTGGAATGTAGGATTTTAAAGAGATCACAATTCATGTTGGTTGTCTGGTGCTTTAAAAGTAATTTTTCTTTAAATGAATTTTTGAAGAAGAAACTAAGATGGAAACAGTTGATCTATAATTGCAGCAGACCTTATTGATAACGATTTAACAGTAATGTTCCTTGTTTAATCTTGCTAGATCCGTAATTTAATGGTGGGTTCAAATGTGTTTCAGCAGCGGTGTATGGCTGTATGCAGGATTTTTTGCAAGCAGTGTCGACATTTAAAAACTAAAAAGTAAACAAATGAACAAGTCACTCTAATTGACACAATATAAAAAAGACACAATTCAAATTTTATTACTAATTTTTAGTTAACTTGGATGATTCCGTTCCAAACTTTTTAAATTATTTATTATCAACACTGGTAATGAATTACTTTGTCGATCCGGTGGTTAGTTTTGTACTTAAACAGTAAGTGGTTGGCGGTTCAAGCATGACAACAAACTTTTCCTTTGAGATAAGGACGCAAAACTTTAAAATACGAGTAAATTTTTGAGCCAGAGAATCAAAACGTCAACCTCACTCTAATAAGTAAGGCGCTTCACCATTGGGCCAGAGCTTGTTGTGGCAAGTGGTGTCAGTTTTAACGATCTACAAAAAAAATGTTTTCCTATTTCTTTTTCTCCAAATTGTCCGTATAGGCTCTAGAGGGACTACTGTTATTCCTTTTCTATTTATGTTGTTTTTTCTTTTATTTTTTGTTTTGTTTTATATTTCTACTTTTTTATCTTCGGTCCTTCAGCCGCTTTGGTATCTTACCTATTAGATACAATTTTGTTCTTATCGCAGTTTACTGGTTTGTGCTGAGATTATCTGGTAGCTAATTGCTACAGCTTTTTATGTTTCCTAATTGGAGTGCCCTCATGTTTCTGGTGCTGCTGGTTATTTATATGACATCTGACTATTTTTAATTACGCAGTAGGCTATTATCAGAGGCTAGTATATTATAACACTCTCATGAGAGTCTTTCTTTTGGGATTAAAAGGGTTTTAGGGAAGACGAAGATATTTTTCTCTTCTCTTTTTTGGTGGTGAAAGTAGACAAGTAAATACTGGTATTTGTTTGATAGGTAGATTATCATATATGAGACTATAATCATCTTGAAGATGCAACCTCACATTTCCAGTGGAAGGAGCCAATCCCGAGGGCATTTCATGCGTTGATTATTTTAGTTGAGATGACCTAAAGGAAAAATGGCGCAGGTCCAAGCAACCAGGGTATTAATCTAGTATTGACAGATTTTTATTGGTGAAGCGGTTCGTTAATTATTTGCTAACCTACAAATAAATTGCCATCAAGTCGCTTCAGCAAGTCCATTCTTTTTTGGACGACCTGAACTTCTAATTACACGTTTTTTTTTAATTTAGTAAAATTAAGATATGAGGTTCTAGCCTCTTTACTGACCTATTTTAATGAAAATTGAGACAGTGTTTATTGGACTTCTAATATTTTCATAATAAAAACTTCAGTGGTGTCATGCTGTGGTGCTCAATGCAATTTCCCCTTTTTCTTTTGTTTTCTAATTTCAAATATTTGGTATAATCATTGAGGTGTTTGCGTTGTTTGGACTGGAGATTGGTTAAAGTAGTTCTTATTGTTTGTTTTATTTTGGTTCACCAGGCAAGCCAAAGATGTTGTGAAAGGAATAAAAAAGCGTCTTCGCAGTAAGAAACCAAAAGTCCAGCTACTCGCCCTGACAGTAAGCTTTTGAAACTATTTTATCCACAAATTGCTTAAACTATATGGATTGTCAAGTCCTTACCTTCCATCTTTTTTGTTAGTTTTCCTTTATTTGTTTTGAATGAGAGCTAAGATTTCCATCTACATTCATTTGTCATTTTGCTATCTCTCTGCCTTCTTTCTTTATATGTTTGCTATTTCTCCTTTACTATTAGCAACGAGATATGATGTAGATTTTGAGATGAAGAAAATACTTCTTATATTTCTGTGTATGTGTACATCCCATGAGCAAGGAAATTTATACAAAGCTCCTAATGCTAATTAAGGAAATAAAATAAATCTATACAATCAATTCAGCTATCAAATAAAATCAAATAAAATCAAATCTCCTAAATATAATCAAATCTTCTGAAATCGTGCTAATCAACAATCTCCTAAATAAAATCAAATCTTCTTGAATCATGCTAATCAACACTCCCCCTCAAGTTGGTACAAAGATGTCGCACATGCTCAACTTGAAACTCAGAGTATGGAAAATTCGCTTTTGAGACCTTTGGTAAACACATCAGCTAGCTATTTTTCCAATAGCACATGAAACAAACTCACGACACCAGTTGTAACTTTTTCTTAGATGAAGTGTCGATTAATTTCCACATGCTTTGTTCAGTCATGCTGGACTGGATTATGAGCTATACTGATGGTAGCTTTATTGTCACAGTACGAGGAAAGTTTAACTTTTTCAGACAGTCTCAATTCCTCTCGTAGCTTTTGTAGCCAAAGCAGTTCGCAAACACCCTGGGACATAGCTCATATTCTGCCTCTGCACCTGATCTAGCAACTACACTTTACATAGATGATAGATTAGAGCTTAGATAATGGTACTAACAGATAAAAGATAGTGACGGGGAACTCAGGGACACGGAGCATAGATGATAGTTTAATATTAGGAGGACAAACGATAGAACCTATTCCAGAGATAGGTATTAAAGAACCATTGGCTATTTTAACATTATCTCCTTTGAGATGCGGAGAATAATTTGAATGCTTTTAGAAGAGCTTGTCATGTGTCTATTTGCTCCGGAATCAACAATCCAAGAATTAAGGCGAGCAACAAAAGCAGTACCTGATTGCACATGATTGGATGTTGCAACATTAGCGGAGTCAAGTTTGGCTAGGAGGCGACGGAGAAGCTGAATTTTATCTGAAGACAAGATTTCTCCACCTTTTGTGTTCGAACCTCGAATCCGGACCTGTTCGACAAGACCAGATCCATCAACAAACCTAGGTCCAATATTTGCGTGTACGAGCTAGCCATCAACAGACGGACATCCTTTTTACCGCAGTCTTCCCCGATTGGGCATAGCCTTTTCTCATGTCTCCAGATTTCTACCCAATCAGAAGGAAATCCGAAGAAAATTGCTCAAAAATAATCTGTCTCGCTGGAAACCAAATATGTCTCGACGGACCTTAACTCTGATGAACGGAAAAATCAAAACTGGTAGGGATAGGCTCGAAATGTTCCAGCGACCCTAATAGAAAAGAAAATTCCAAAAATAAAATTGACCAGAAGGAGTTTGTGTTGCGGACAGCCACCAAGAGAGAGAAAACTCAACCTATTTGATAAAAACGGAACCCTAGTGCTGCGAGGGAGATAACTAACCTCAAAAAGGCAGCAATGACTCTGATACCATGTAGATTTTGAGAAGAAGAAAAGGCTTCTTGTATTTCTATGTATGTTTACATCCCATGAGCAAGGGAGTTTATACAAAGCTCCTAATGCTAATTTAGGAAATAAAATAAATCTATACAACCAATATAGCTGTCAAATCAAATCAAATCTCCTAAATATAATCAAATCTCCTAAAATCATGTTAATCAACAATCTCCTAAATAATGCTAAATCAAATCTCCTTGAATCATGCTAAATCAACATATCATCTTGGAAGACTAATAAAGTACTGATATAATGAAATACTTGAACCAATATGCTACTGTTACTACTAATAAAGCTCTAACAATGCAGAATATTGGTTTCTTTTCACTGTGTAGTCGCCCAGTTGTCCCAATGTTCCAATTATTAATCTCAAGAATCCAACGACTGGATTTGTAAATTGTCTTGGTCTCTCCAGTGTACTTGACTTTTTCTTACTTTTTATCTAATTATCTCCTGTTTTATGCTCCCCCGTTTTATTTTATGTGTATTAGTATGACTGGACATGGAGTTTAAGAAAGTAAGGGTGGACTTTTAGGTCTTGTGGCCTTAAACTAAAGATTTGTGTAATGCACCATAATTCCCCCTGAACTTATGGTCTTAAACATGCCATGTGTAATGTTTGAATTAGAGAGTTATACTAAACATAGAAAGTTGCATTTTTTTAACACACTAAAAATGAAAGTAAGACACATAAATTGAAACAGAAGCATTATCTCTTTTCATTTTGACTAAGAAATTCTTAACATACTATTTATTTTTAAACGTCTCATTTATGTAATACACTTCCCCTTTTTTTTTATAAGGTAAATTGTATTATCAAAAGGGAGAGAACTCCTGTATACACGAAGTATACCAAAAAGTAGAGAATTTACATCAGAACATGATTCTCTACAAAAGACGCCCAATTTTCTATACAAGTAGGGGCTAAATGAGTGCACCAAAAAGCGATCAAAGATAAAAGACTATTCTTAAGATGTGAAAAAGGAGACTCAATCTCCTCAAAAGCTCTCCTATTTTTCTCCCCCCATACTATCCACATGAGAGCTAACGGGGCGAACTTCCACGCCTTTTGCTTTCTTCTTCTACGGAAACCGGCCCAGCTATATAACATTTCCTTTACAGTGCTTGGCATCACCTATTGAACACCAAAAAGATTCAGGATTGTCCTCCACAAAGCAGAGGACACAGGGCAATACAACAAAAGGTGATCAACTACTTCCCCTGAGCTTTTACACATGTAGCACCAACTAACAAGTGTAATTCCTCTCTTTCGGAGATTTTCAGCAGTCAAGATCACTCCCTCGCCGCTAGCCATGCAAAAAAGCACACCTTCGTGGGCGCCCTAGGAATCCAGATCGAGGAGTATGGAAAAGTGGTCTCCTCTCTCACCAACATACTTTGGTAAAAGGACTTTACGGTGAACAAACCATCGCCACGCAAGCTCCATCTCCAAGAGTTGCAGGATGGCTGGGGCCTGTCTTGCCCATATAGAAGTGCCAACAAATCTTGGAGCTCCGCAATCTCCCAATCTTGCTTGTTCCTTCTGAATGAGAGGTCCCATACTACCTCCCCTTCATGCTCCTTACGAATCTGTTGGACCATCAGTTCCTTCTGGTTTGAAACTCTGAAGACGTGGGGGAAGGAGACCCTCAGAGTATCCTCTCCACACCACCTATGATTCCAAAAGCTGATTCTCCTTCCATCTCCCACCCTATAAGTGATGTTGCTACTGAATGCTTCCCAATTCTTCACGATGCTCCTCCACATGCCACACCCGAAAGGTGTTGTGATTGCCTTGGTCCTCTAACCCCCTCCCGTGGAATCGCACTTTTCTACTATGACCTCCCTCCATAGAGCATGCTCTTCCACCCCGAATCTCCACGGCCACTTCCCCATTAAAGCTCTGTTAAATACCCTAAGATCTTTCACTCCAAGTCCACCCCACCTCTTTGGGGAAGTGACTGTCTGCCAATTTACTAGATGACACTTTCTAGTTCCATCCGCCGCATCCCAAAGAAAATTCCTTTGAAGTCGCTTCAGTTTTTCTGTGATGCTCACCGGTGCTTGCAACAGGGATAAGTAATAGGTGGGCATACTCGATAAAGTGCTTTTGATAAGCACTTCCTTACCGCCTTTTGACAAATACTATTTTTGCCAGCCTGCTAATCTTTTTTCAACCCGCTCGATCACTGAATTCCAAACCGTAGTATCCTTATATGAAGCGCCCAATGGGAGACCCAGGTAAGTAGTGGGAAGGGAGCCCACCTTGCATCTGAGAACATAAGACAAGGCATCAATATTAGCAACCTCACCTACCGGAAAAATTTCACACTTGCCGATGTTGATTTTGATTCTGATACTAACTGAAACTACTGCAGGACCTGCTTCAGGTAGGTCAACTGATCCATATCGGCATCACAGAAAACCAGTGTGTTATCCACAAAAAGCAAATGTGAGACTTTTCGGGCTCTGAGCACCCCAATCGGAGTTGAGAATCCTCTCAAGAAGCCTCCGCCCGCCGCACGATCCATCATTTTGCTCAAAGTATCCATCACTAGAATGAATAGCATGGGGGATAGGGGGTCACCTTGCCCGAGACCCCTGGAGATGCCAAAGAAATCACACGGGCTACCATTAACCAGGATAGAGAATCTGACTGAGGAAATGCAGAACTTGATCCATCCCCTCCATCTTGCCCCAAACCCCATCTGCATCATAATGAAGTCCAGGAACTCCCAATTGACATGGTCGAAAGCCTTCTCAAGGTCCAACTTGCATAGTAAGCCGGGTTCTCTATTTTTTCTTCTGGAGTCTACAAGTTCATTTGCCACCAAAACAGCATCCAGGATCTGCCTACCTTCCACAAACGCATTCTGGGAGGACGGAACAGTCATGTCAAGAACCTTCTTAAGTCTGTTGGAAAGCACTTTAGAAATAATCTTGTAAATGCTCCCCACGAGACTAATAGGCCTGTAGTCTCTGATACAATATGCACCTTCTTTCTTAGGCACAATAGTAATAAAGAAAGCATTGATACTTCTCTCGAAAACACCATTCACATGGAAGTATTCAATGGCTTCCATTAACTCCCCCTTGATGGTGTCCCAAAAGAGCTGCAAGAAAGCCAAGGAGAAACCATCAGGCTCGGGGGCCTTATCACCAGCACAACTCGACACAGCCTCGTGCACCTCCTCCTCCTCGAAGACCCTTTCTAGCCACTCGTTGTCTCCCTCCCCTATATGGTTGAACTCTATTCCCCCAAAGTCGGCCTCCAACTAACTTCCTCTTTATATAAGTTCTCATAAAACCCCACTATCGCCCCTTTTACCTCCTCTTCTCCCTCAATCCTCACCGCATCCACAGCTGAGGACTCTATGAAGTTTCTCCTTCGATTTGCAACCGCCACCCTATGGAAAAACTTGGTATTCGAATCCCCCTCCTTTAACCAGAGCGCCCTCGATTTTTGCCGCCAACTAGTCTCCTGAGCTATTGCTAACTCGACTATTTCCCTTTTAACCTCCCCCAATCTCGCTTTCTCAGATTCATCCAACTCCCTCGCCCCTTCCCCTCTTTCTAATTCCCCCAATTCATGCATAAGTTCCCTCATTTTAACCTCTACCCTCCCAAAAACCTCCTTATTCCACCTAATAATATCTCCCTTGAGCAATTTAAGTTTCTTCGAAAGACGGAATGAAGGTGTCCCTGATACCCTGTAGCTTGTCCACCATTCTTTCACCTTGTCACCGAATCCTGGCACTTTCAACCACATGTTTTCGAATTGGAAGGGAACACGCACCCCCTTCCATCTGCATCCATCTAGCAAAATAGGCAAATGATCTGAAGTCGGTCTAGGTAAAAGAATCTGCAGCACATTCGGCACCAGCTCATCTCATGCGGGAGATGTCAGGAATCTATCAAGTCTAGACCTTGAGTTGGAATCCTCCGCCCTGGCCCAAGTAAACCTTTTCCCTGACAGAGGAAGGTTAATGAGAAAGTGATCATTGATGAAGTCAGAAAACTCCTCCATGGCCCTCGAAATCAAACTACACCCTAATCTCTCCTCCGGGAATCTAATAGTATTAAAGTCTCTCCCTATAACCCATGGAATGTCCTATTCCCCCATAATATTGGCTAGTTCCTCCCAGAAAGACACCTTGGACCCTTCCCCTACCGGCCCGTACACTCCTCCAAATCTCCACTCCACCCCACTCACTCTATCTTTGACGAGAGCTATCAAAGAAATAACTCCCTTCCTAATCTCCTTTACCTCCAAGCTTCTATCATCCCACATAAGTAGAATGCCGCCGGCACTTCCCGCTGCTGGGACCCAGTCATATTTCACCCAACTACCTCCCCCGACACTTCTCACGATCGCATCCGACAAAACTTCCATTTTGGTCTCCTGAAAACAAACTAAGTTGGCACCCCACTCCCTAACTCCCACTTTGATGATGGCTTTTTTGTTTGGGCATTCATCCCCCTCACATTCCATGAAAGGATCTTAACTTCCATAAGCGACAATAGCCCCCATTTCCCCACCCCCCAGCCGAGGTCCCTTTCTCCGTGTCACATACTCGCCCCCTTCTCTGATACACCACTACATCCCCTAAGTTATTTTGCTTAACACCTTTATCCAACTCCCTCCCTGCACCATCATAAAGAGATTGTTGCTCAATCTCCCTCAACAGTTCTAACACCCTATCTTCCTTCCCTTCAACAGAAACACCTCCCAAAGTTTAATAGTTTATCCTCCATCCAGAAAGACATATCCCCTCCTCCAATCCGTGACGAAATTGGGCAGGCGTCTTCTATATGTACCCTTTCCTTGCTACTACCAGAATACAAGACCATAGCATTGCTAGCACTAGGAGTTTTAACCTCCGAAAGGGTCTCACCATTTCCTTGAGGGGCAGCAACCTCTGAAATTAACACCCCGCTGCTATAGGAATGTCCAGAACCATCAGTAGGGTAGCATGGAGGAAAAGAGCATGGAACCCTTGGCGGCATATTAACGTGTAATACACTTCCCTTTAAATCTGTCCTGAAGAGATGATATCATTCTGTATATGCCATTTGGAAACTATTGCAATTTTTAACATTCCCGTTTTAATTAGGAGATAGAAAGATGAAGGAACATGTGGAACTCTTGGCATCTTTAATTGTTGGTTGTACGGAAAATTTTCGTACTTCTTCATATATTTAGCTTATTTGTCAAAAGTCTTTGTTTTTTTTTTAAAAACAGTAACAATGACGAATTTTAAAAAAAAAAATGCATTTGCATTAACTGCGTCCCTCATTCTAGTAAACTATAAATGTATATGATAGTCTCTTAAGTGACATATATACATGCAGCTCTTCGATACAAAATTGCCTGTCTGTTGGTTATATCTTTGCTGGTGCTTTCCCAATATGTCTTGTTGACAAGACAATCTGCAGAAAGATACATATTAACAAAAAGAAGAAGATAATCTGCATGAAGATATGGATGTTGAGATGACAACTTTTACTCTAGAAAAAAAAAGTTGGGGATCATTTAGATGATCGTGGTCAAGCCACAAAATCATATGCAAGTGTTTTTGACACTATCTTGGTGTATTTATATTGTAATATATTTATTTGACTAATCATAAATAACTCAAGTCATTCCCAAGAGGGAGAGTTTCAAGTATCTGGGGTGTGTGATTCAGAGTGATGGGGAGATTGATGAGGATGTCACACATCGTATCGGAGTGGGATGGGATAAAGTGGAGGCTCCCTTCCGTGTCTTGTGCGATAAGAATGTGCCATTGAGACTTAAAAGTAAGTTCTACAAAGTAGTGGTTAGACCGATTATGTTATATGAGGCAGAGTGTTGGCCAGTCAAGAACTCAGCTCCCATGTCTATAAGATGGATATGCGGGCATACTAGGTTAGATAAAAATAGGAACGAAGTTATTAGGGACAAGATGGGAGTTGCCCCCGTGGAGGATAAGATGCGAGAGGCGAGGATTCGATGGTTCGGACATGTTAAAAGGAGAAGCACAGATGACTCAGTCAGGAGGTGTGAGAGGTTGTCCTTGGGGAGTCAGAGGAAGGGTAGAGGTAGGCCAAAGAAGTCTTGGAGAGAGGTGATCAGGCGAGACATGGCGCAACTTGAGCTAATCGAGGACATGACCCTTGATAGGAGGGAGTGCAGGTTGAGAATTAGGGTAGAAAGTTAGTAGGCAGTCAAGTGTTTCCCTTTGTCTTCCTTGTTTCAGTAGTATTAGTGTTAGTATGGTATTATTTTATTACTACATATCTTGTTTTGTATTACTTGTTATCAGTGCTTCTTTCATCTTGTATTTTGCTATTTTAGTCTCAGTTTTCTAATATCTTGTACTGTTATTACTTGCTATCCGTGCTTCTTTCATCTTTTCTTTAGCTGAGGGTTTATAGGAAATAATCTCTTTGTCCGTCCAGGGTAGGGGTAAGGCTGCGTACCTCTTACCCTCCCCAGACCTCACTTGTGGGAATACACTGGGTCGTTGTTATTGTTGACTAATCATAAATAAATAAATAGGTGGTTGGTTACGTTTGTTTATCACTTCAGTTTTATAGGGGTTTACGTTGTTCCTTGAGAATTTTGTTATTCTCTTTGCTTGGCCTGCAAAGTAAAAAAATTAACTGGACTCACGGTTAACCTGAGATGTTACCATTTTTCAGCTATTGGAAGCAATTGTGAAGAATTGTGGGGACATTGTGCATATGCATGTTGCCGAGAAAGGTCTTCTTCACCAGATGGTGAAAATTGTAAAGAAGAAGGTGATTGCAGACTCTAAGCCTCCCTTATGTTATGTTACCCCCCACCCCCATAAATTTCTGGCATCAATCTTATACTGTTTTGCAAAAGCAGCCCGACTTTTACGTCAGGGAAAAGATATTAACTTTGGTAGACACTTGGCAAGAAGCTTTTGGAGGACCAAGGGCGAGATATCCACAATATTATGGATCCTACCAGGAGTTGTTGGTAAGATTGTTTTTAACTCTTCTATTAGGTGTACATTTGAAGTTAATTTTCATCACTATTAGGGGTTGACATTATTTGTATTTATGTGACGGAGCACCCCGACAAGTTCTGTATGGCTCCAGACATAAAAATTCAGTTTTCTAACTTATCACCTAAGCAGCAACTCTATAATCAATAGGGTTTACTTGGAGAGTAAAAGTTCTCTTTTCCTTGAGTAAGTCATTATGGGTCCGTCGTGTGGAGAGCCCATCACATGATCTGTGGGTGTAAGCACACGTCATGGGTTTGAACCCTTTTGCAGACAACAGTTTCTTGGTATTTAAGTGGAGAAGAGTAGAGGGATAGCCCATTATCCTCTGAGTTTTGAACCATGCACCATTGGCTCTCGGGGATTTATCGGTTATCAAAAGTTATTTTGACGCCTTCCAAACAATACTAATGGTTTGTACCAGTTGATAATTGATTGGTGTTGGTTGCTAAAATTCCAAAACAAAATGCTTGAACGTACTGACTGAACTTATACAATTAACTGGAGTTTGTCCATGCCCAGTTGCTATGATAATACTTTATTTATGCTTGGTTGACACCTCAATTCATAAAAAATGTTTTGCAAATGTAAAAGTTCTCTTGGAAAGTTAGTTAAGCAGTAATTAAATAGGGTTTCACTTGGAGGGTAAAAGTTCTTTTTTCCTTAAAGTTTTTATGGGGCCTTTTATGAATCATTTTGTGACCTCTGCAAACAATACTAATGGTTTATACCAGTTGGTAATTGGTTGGTGTTGGTTGCTAAAATTCCAAAACCAAATGCTTTTCTGTACTGACTGAACTTCCACTAATACTTGGAGTTTTGTCCATGCTGGTATTATGTACTTTCTATATGTTTGTTTGACACCTCACATGATGTTTTGCAAATGTATTGCTTGACTTTCAGCGCATTGGAGCCGTATTCCCTCAGAGATCTGAGAGATCAGCACCTGTGTTCACACCTCCTCAAACACATCCACTTGCATCTGATCCACAGAATCTTCAGAAGCCTGAATCTAGACAGGATACAGCAGAGTCTTCAGCAGATGCTGAATATCCCACCTTGAGGTGACTGTTTTTCTATTAATATAAAGAAGATGTTAAACTATGACCATTTTTGTTTACTGGGGAATTTCCAACATTCTTTCTGTTTCTTTAATTCTGTTGCCCAGCTCTCAGCAAACGTAGCTTAGGTTAGTTGGTGGGACAATATGAGAATGGAGGATCAGTGTAGGAAAATGCTCCCGTTATCCTTGCATTGCCTTGATAGATTAGTCGTTTATAGTGCATGGCTTGACACTTTCTCATGGACAAGCTCAACCTGAGAAATCTGAATTTTATTACTCTTTAGCGTCTGGACAGTTTGAGCTTACAAGAGGCTTAGGACTACACTAATTTCTTCAGTTAGTGCTAGTACCATCTTATCCCTCAAAGGTGTCTAAGAGGCAAAAAGCCTCTGAGTTCGATTTCTAGTAAATCTCTTGTCTTCCTAGCATGCAATGTCCGTTGAATGTAAACCTGCATTACCAGATCTTGATCCGAGTACTTTGAAGCTATATGAAAATCTTTAAGAAGCAGAAAGTGGTAGAAATGACTCCGACGGGTTTACAATGTACAATAACAACCTATTGATCGTACTGCTATTTCAAACTATACAGGGTTTTCTCTTAGGTNAGAGAAAAAATACTTTCAGGAGATATTGTTACAAAGTTTGTAAAGTCGAATGATCAACTAGCAGATATTTTCACTAAGTCTCTTACTGGTTCTCGTATTAGTTACATGTGTAACAAGCTCGGTACATATGATGTGTATGCACCGGCTTGAGGGGCAGTGTTAGTTTATAGATATGTATAGTGTAATCTTGTCCCACATTGGAAGAGGAGTAATATCTCCTTGTAGTGTATAGCTATAAATAGGGACCTCTTGTATTGTATTTATCATCCAATATCAATAACATATTTTCTCCCGTACCTTTTCACAACATTATTTGTATTTATGTGACGGAACACCCCGACAAGTTCTGTATGGCTCCAGACATAAAATTTCAGTTTTCTAACTTTATCACCTAAGCAGCAACTATATAATCAACAGGGTTTACTTGGAGAGTAAAAGTTTTCTTTTCCTTGGGTAAGTCATTATGGGGCCGACGTGTGGAGAGCCCATCACATGATCTGTGGGTTTAGGCACACGTCATGGGTTTGAACCCTTTTGCAGACAACAGTTTCTTGGTATTTAAGTGGAGAAGAGTAGAGGGACGGCCCATTATCCTCTGAGTTTTGAACCATGTACACTGGCTCTCGGGGATTTATCGGTTATCAAAAGTTATTCTGACGCCTTCCAAACAATACTAATGGTTTGTACCGGTTGATAATCGATTGGTGTTGGTTGCTAAAATTCCAAAACCAAATGCTTGAACGTACTGACTGAACTTATACAACTAACTGGAGTTTGTCCATCCCCAGTTGCTATGATAATACTTTCTATATGCTTGGTTGACACCTCAATATATAAAAAATGTTTTGCAAATGTATTGCTTGAGTTCAGTGCATTGGAGCAGTAAAAGTTATGCTTTTCTGTACTGACTGAACTTCCACTAATACTTGTAGTTTTGTCCATGCTGGTTTTATGTACTTTCTATATGTTTGTTTGACACCTCACATGATGTTTTGCAAATGTATTGCTTGACTTACAGCGCATTGGAGCAGTATTCCCTCAGAGATCTGAGAGATCAGCACCTGTGTTCACGCCTACTCAAACACATCCACTTTCATCTGATCCACAGAATCTTCAGAAGCCTGAATCTAGACAGGATACAGCAGAGTCTTCAGCAGATGCTGAATATCCCACCTTGAGGTGACTGTTTTTCTGTTAATATAAAGAAGGATGCTAAACTATGACCATTTTTGTTTACTGAGGAATTTCCAACATTCTTTCTGTTTCTTTAATTCTGTTGCCCAGTTCTCAGCAAATGTAGCTAGTTTAGTTGGTGGGACAATATGAGAATGGAGGATCACTGTAGGAAAATGCTCCCATTATCCTTGCATTGACTTGATAGATTAGTCATTTATAGTGCATGGCTTGACACTTTCTCATGGACAAGCTCAACTTGAGAAATCTGAATTTATTACTCACTAGCGTCTGGACAGTTAGAGCTTACGAGAGGTTTAGGACTACACTAATTTCTTCAGTTAGTGCTAGTACCATCTTATCCCTCAAAAGGTGCTAAGAGGCAAAAAGCTTCTGAGTTCGATTTCTAGTAAATCATTGGTCTTCCAAGCATGCAATGTCTGTTGAATGTAAACCTGCATTACCAGCTCTTGATCCGAGTACTTTGAAGCTATATGAAAATCTTTAAGAAGCAGAAAGTGGTAGAAATGACTCCGACAGGTTTGGATGATATTGGATGATTTAATACAATACAAGAGGTCCTTATTTACAGCTATACTATACAAGGACATACTACTCCTCTACCAATGTGGGACAATACTACACTATATGCATAGTTGTAAACTAACACTCCCCCTCAAGCCGGTGCATACAGATCATATGTACCGAGCTTGTTACATATATAACCAATACGAGGACCAGTGAGAGACTTGGTGAAAATATCTGCAAGTTGATCATTCGACCTCATAAACTCTGTAGCAATCTCTCCTGAAAGTATCTTTTCTCTGACGAAGTGACAATCAATCTCAATGTATTTAGTTCTCTCATGGAACACCGGATTTGATGCAATATGAAGGGCAGCTTGATTATCGCACACAAGTTCCATCCGACTGATTTCACCAAATTTCAACTCCTTGAGCAATTGTTTGGTCCAGACTAGCTCACATGTTGCCATAGCCATTGCTCGATATTCTGCTTCTGCACTAGACCGAGCAACTACATTCTGTTTCTTGCTCTTCCAGGACACCAAATTTCCTCCTACTAAAACACAATATCCAGACGTAGAACGTCTATCAGAAGGTGATCCTGCCCAATCAGCATCTGAGTATCCAACGATCTGCTCATGACCTCGATCCTCAAACATTAACCCTTTGCCTGAAGCCGATTTTATATATCGAATAATACGGACAACTGCATCCCAATGACTATCACAGAGAATTCATAAACTGACTTACAATACTCATAGGATAAGAAATGTCGGGTCTAGTCACTGTGAGATAATTTAATTTTCCAACCAGCCACCTATAGCTTGCAGGATCGCTAAGCGACTCCCCCTGTCCTGGCATAATTTTAGAATTCGGATCCATCGGAGTGTCAACAGGTCTGCAACCTATCATCCCCGTCTCCTCAAGAATGTCTAAAGCATATTTTCTTTGAGAAATAACAATACCTGAGCTAGACTGGGCAATCTCAATACCTAGAAAGTACTTCAATCTGCCTAGATCCTTAGTTTGGAAGTGCTGGAAGAGATGCTGCTTCAGATTTGTAATACCATCCTGATCATTGCCAGTAATAACAATATCATCAACATAGACTACCCGATAAATACACAGACTTGAAGCAGTNTAGACTTGAAGCAGAGTGGCAATAAAACACAGAGTGATCAGCTTCACTACGAGTCATGCCAAACTCCTGGATAACCGTGCTGAACTTACCAAACCAGGCTCGAGGAGACTGCTTTAGACCATAAAGTGACCGACGCAAGCGACATACAAGGCCACGAGACTCCCCCTGAGCAATAAAACCAGGTGGTTGCTCCATATAAACCTCATCCTCAAGATCACCATGAAGAAAGGCATTTTTAATAGCCAGCTGATAGAGGGGCCAATGACGAACCGCAGCCATGGATAGAAAAAGGCGGACTGAAGCCACTTTAATCACGGGAGAGAAGGCATCACTGTAATCGAGCCCAAATATCTGAGTATATCCTTTGGCAACAAGACGGGCCTTAAGTCGATCAATCTGTCCATCGGGACCAACTTTGACTGCATATACCCAACGACAACCTAAGTTGCTCCGACATGGCAGTTTAGGTGCCGCAACCGTGTCGACACGACACTAGTATGGGTGTGGGTGTGGGTGTGGGTGTGGGTGTGGGTATGGGATCCGTACCGGATCTGGTCAAACAATTTTGGGTACTTTGACCACGACGGACGAAAAAATTCGAGATAATATACAATTTAATTCCCGAAATCAAAACCAAAACTAGGGTAAATTTGAAGAAAATAGCATACCTTATCTAGGAAATCAATCGTTTACTTATCTACAACTTGAGAATAAAACAGAAATCCACACTTTACAAGCTATACACAAGTATTCCACAAAATTTCTGATAATTTAGAGATATTTTTATATTTTTATTTTTTTGAATTATTTTTAACCGGATCCCCGCACCCGTATTGGTACTAGGATTCGTATCCCCGAATCTTAGAATTTACATCTCGAAGGATCCGACCTCTAGATCCGCACCCGTGTCCGAGCAGCTTAGACGACACCAACAGTAGATTTACCTGAGGGAAGAGGAACAAGCTCCCAAGTACCACTTGTATGTAAAGCAGACATCTCGTCACTCATAGCCTGTCGCCATCCTGGATGAGACAACGCTTCACCTGTAGACTTAGGGATGGAAACCGAGGACAAAGAAGATATAAAAGCATAATGGGGAGATGACAGACGATGATAACTCAAACCTACATAATGAGGATTAGGGTTAAGTGTGGTCCGTATACCTTTCCAAAGTGCAATCGGTGTACTAGGAGCAGGGTCCGCAACAGGAGCTTGGTCAGGTGCTGGACAAGAACCAGTTGGGCCTGATGGAGGACGCGAACGATAATGATAAGTCAAGAGTGGTGTTCCTGTGGCTGGGGAACTAGGGGGAACAACATTAGACTCCTCAACGGTTGGTATGGATGAAACCTCTGTGGTCGAAGGTGGAGCTATAGTAAACTCCTCAAAGGTCGGTATAGGTAAGACCTCAGATATATCATGGTGGTCAGCAGAAGTAAAGAAAGGTTTAGACTTAAAAAATGTGACGTCAGCTGACAAAAGGTACCTACGAAGATCTGGAGAATAACAACGATATCCTTTTTGAACACGTGAATAACCAAGGAAGACACACTTGAGAGCACGAGGAGCTAACTTATCTTTCCCAGGGGCTAAGTTATGAACAAAACACGTGCTCCCAAAAACACGGGGTGGAAGAGAGTATAAGGGTGATTGAGGAAACAATACTGAGTGCGGAATCTGATTCTTGATGGGAGATGAAGGCATCCGATTAATCAAATAACAAGCTGTGAGAACTGCATCGCCCCAAAAACGCAACGGAACACGAGATTCAATTAGAAGTGTGCGAGCAGTCTCAATAAGGTGCCTATTCTTTCTCTCAGCAACCCCATTTTGCTGAGGGGTATAAGGACAAGATGTCTGATGAATAATTCCTTGAGAAGTCATAAACTGCTGAAATTGAGAAGATAAATATTCTAAGGCATTATCACTGCGAAAAATGCGAATAGAAACACCAAATTGGTTTTTGATTTCAGCACAGAAACTCTGGAATATAGAAAATAACTCAGAACGATCTTTCATTAAGAAAAGCCAAGTATATCTTGAATAATCATCAATGAAACTAATAAAATAACGAAATCCCAAAGATGAACCGACTCTACTAGGACCCAATATATCAGAATGAACTAAGGAGAAGACAGACTCTGCATGACTCTCAACACTACGCGAAAAGGAAGCTCGGGTATGTTTCCCAAGTTGACACGACTCACAATCTAATGTAGACAAACTAGATAAACTAGGCACCATCTTCTGAAGTTTGGATAAACTCGGATTTTCTAAACGTCTGTGGATTAGATCTGGAGGATCTGTAATTAGACATGTTGTGGAAGGACTGAGTGAGTTAAGGTAGTAAAGATATTCTGATTCACGTCCGGTCTGTCCCGTACTGCGGTCCTACATAATAAAAGAATCGTCAATTAAATATATACCACAATGGAGGGCACGAGTCAAACGACTAACATATGCAAGACTAAAAGGATAGTCAGGGACATAAAGAACGGAATCTAGGGTGATAGAAGACAAGGGATTAGCTTGTCCAACTCCTTTTGCCTTAGTTTGACATTCATTGGCTAAAGTAATAGTGGGAAGAGACTGTGAATATACAATATTTGACAAAAGTGATATATTACCAAAGATGTGATCAGAAGCGCCTTAGTCCATGACCCATGGGCCAAGAGTGCTAGACTGAGAAACACAAGCAAAAGAATTACCAGTATCAGAAGTATCAGTCTGAGCAACTGTGGCTACTTGTGGAGATGTTTGCTTACTTGCTCGATACTGAAGGAGCTCATTATATTCTTCTTT